AATGAACGAAACTTCCCTCTTTCTCTCTCTATCCATTTGTAAACTGAGAGTTTTGTAAACTCCCCAATACATGGAGATGACACGTGTACCTTATACCACATAATTTAATACGGAGTATATTTTTGTTTATTACAATCAGTCCCAAAACTAAAATTCAATTATTATTTCTTTGGATCTACCGTTTCTCCCATCTTCCGTTAACTTCTGCGCCGTCTCCAACATCTCTTCGTTTCTGCATCGCCGTCTCCCTTCAACATCCTCTCCATCTCCAGCGTTTTCTTTTCCGGAATCAGAAGCCGCCCGCTGCCGCCCTTCCTCTATCGTCCCTAGGTCGGATCTTATCTCCAAAATTAGGAATGAATGACTCACAATTAAAAATAATTTATACAATATGAATAAATTAATTAACTATTAGATATTTTATTTTTAATACAGTAATATACACAATTAAATTTCAAAAGCAAGGCCTACCCCATGTGCATATCTTGCTCTTTTAAACTAAAAGAGATTCAGAGTTTTAACCGGAAGACATTGACAAAATAATTTGTGCAGAGATTCCAGATAAAAACAAAGATCCTCATTGACAAAATCGTGTTAGAAATATATTTACTTGATTCTGAAAAATATTTTACATTGAAAAAATTCAGAATGGACAAAAATTTCATACGACCCCGTGCATGGCACAGGTAAAAATACTAGTATATATGTAAAGTTGGGTTTGTCTCTTGGGGTGTTGACATGTGGCATGCCACATGTGCATTCATTAATGAGATGGATGAATTTCATTTGTCCATTGAATTTTTTAAAAGATCTTTTAACACATTTTATTGTAATACATTAAATAAATATTATATTTTAGTATTAAAAAAATTATTTTATTACACTTTGTATAAAAAAATATCATTTTTAAACAATTTTATAGACATATATTTCATCATTGTAAAATATACTTCGTATTATATATATATATATATATATATATATATATATATATATATATATATATATATATATATATATATATTCCCTCCGTTCCAAATTATTTGCCACATTTGTATTTCCGAGGCAAAATATCAAGTTTTTTCAATTCATTTTATTTACATGTTGGTAAAGAAATAAAAAATAAAATTTACATATAAAAAAACTATATGAAAAGGTGTTCGAAATAAGAGGTGTGAAGAATATTTTATTTTATCAAATAATCAATGAAAAAGTCGAAATACACAAAAGTTCCCGACACTGCTGAAAAAACAAATGTTGTGAATATTTAGGGACGGAGGGAGTATATATATATATATATATATATATATATATATATATATATATATATATATATATATATATATATATATATAGTTTTGTTGATCGATTACTAGAGAGAGAAAGTTCCCAGGTGTATCTCTGGTAGCAACTCTGGCAGCCTTAGGCCGGCAAAATCCACCCCCAAACATCATTTCCCTAAATTATTCTCGGATTTATTTTCCGGTTCTGAGCTAGAACCTGTAGGGAAGGTGGAAGGCTTCCACAATGGAATGGCCTCAGCCTCTTTTTCAGTTGAGGAGGAAGACAATCTAGCATGCTCTCTCAAATATGCTGCAATTGGTAGGTCTCAACTCAATCTCTCGCCACAAGGGATGAAGGCCTTCTTGTTGAAAGGCAGGTTCAGTGGTGGTTTCAGAATTAGGAGGCTCTCAGAAAAGGAACTTTTGTTCATTTTTAAACAAGAGGCTTATTATATAAAGTTTTTACAGAAAAGAATCTGGTATGTGGGCAAAACTCATCTCTTTGTTTTCAAATGGACTAAAAATTATCATTCTGGCTCGGATTGCCCAGTTGTTCCCTTCTGGGTAACTTTCAAACACCTCCCCCTTCATATTATCCACTTCCCGGCTCTCTTTACCCTAGCATCTACTATTGGAAGACCCGTTTAATTAGATGCAGCTACATCCATTTTGGATAAAGGTCTTGATGCTAGAGTTTTAATTGAAAGAGATGTCAGTATACCTCTACCTCAATCTGTTCATCTACGACTTGGGGACAAAGACTACACTATATTATGTTCTTTTGAAAATCCCCCCATGTTCTACAACAAGTGCAAAAGGCTGGGGCACAACTGCTCAATCTCCACCGGATAAGTGCCCAGGGCAGGGAAAGGGGAAACAAACAGGGCCCCACCTATGGGTACAAGCTAAGGAAAAGCATAAATTATTCAATAATCTCAATAGCAAAACACAAGTATATCAGTCCAAAAAGATGTGGGTCGGGAAGTGCAACCCCACAGCTGATGACTCCTCCCACAATCCATTTAACCTTTTGGATCAGTCTATGGACCAGCTTCCCGTTCAAACTAAGCCTCTTAATTCTCATTTGTACAAATCCCCAAATAGAGCACATGGCCAGCTGACACACATGGACCCTCTGCTAGAGCAACTTTTAGTGGATGATCAGGTTCCTGCAAACACCAATACCAAGACAAATGAACTCTTCCCATCCTTTTCAGAAGCCAAGGAGTATGCTAATAGGATGGAAAGGAAAAGACAGACAGTTGATGCCAACAAAGTTCAGAAGAGAGCCTCTCAAGAGGAAGGCATTCACTTCAGGACTCCTGAACAAGGTCTTGGATTTCTTCTACACTCTTCGGCACCCAACTCTCCTTGTATCCAAGATCAGGCCTTTGATTTTGGCTACCACTCAAAAGAAGAAGTCAGTGTGTTTTTAGACAACTCAAGGCTGCAACCTAGGAACTTTATGTTGGGAAACGAGGCTTGGATAACGCAGCGGAAAACAAAAATTTATAGTCCGAAACTCGATTCCACCCAAGAACAACTTACGTAAATTACTAGCTATAGTAAGAAATTTACCTTAACGGTGAAAACGGAGAACGGAGGAACGGTCGGGGATGGTTTTGAGGAGATGAACGTAGCGCCAAACGTATGAAGCCTCCAACGTATCCACACGAACTTGCTCCGGAGTCCTAGATTAAACTTGTGCTAGCAAGTTTAATTTAGGATAGTAAAAACTATAATAATACTACTTTGGGAGTAATAAATATATAGTAAAAATATTTATCTTATAAATATTTCTTTATAATATTTTGTGTATATTTCTAACACTTTAGAAAAATAACTTGGAACACAAAATAATATTTTTCTCCTCTCCACTTTGTAATGGCCGAATGTTTTTGTTACCAAAAAAATGGGGAGGGATACATCTTATTTATAAAACACTACTTTAAAAGAATTTCTAGGAAATTTATTAGGGACAAAAACAAATAAAGATTAGTGCAATGTCTCCAACCAACACAACAAGACAAATATCCTTTTGTTAATCAAATATTTGATTATATCAATCAAATATATCATTAGGTAGAAAATCAAATTGTGTCTTGTACATTTCCCTTTTGAAATTTCGGCCATCTCATATTAAAATGCATTACATTTTATTTTGACATCAATAATTATCATATAATTAAAATGATGAAAAATAAAAAATAATATATATATATATATATATATATATATCAATATATATATATATATATATATCAATATATATATATATATATATATATATATATCGGCGCTATATATAATTATCATATAATTAAAATGACACAAACAAAATATAATTTTAAAATACATATGTATTTTCGAAATACATATATATAAAATTATCACAACTATATATTTAATATTACTCCCACTAGTGTAGTATACTACTCCCTTACAAGTCCTAAGTGTATGACCCTTTAGGTATCCATAACACTGACAATGATATTAATATAAATTAATACCATAGATAATAAGTGGTATCTAGCAACACATTATTACCCCCAGATTATGAAAAAGACGTTCATCTCATCAATACCTTCTACGACACAAGACGTTCTATAACTATTATCCTTCTGTCCTAAATGTCATGATTTAACACAAGGCATGGGGTGTGTATCCTTGTATAGTTAAATCAGCTGTTACTGAATCTCAAGTAGACTGGCAGGGATCAGATATTTATCAGTCTCTGGATAGGGACATATCTGGGCATGGCCATGCACTTTTCCAAGTCCTACTATTCAGTGGGCCCATTGACATTATACTTCTATACAGTAGAAGGGACATATCCTGTATCTGTTATTCACATCTCTAAATACGCTTAGCGGCATACCCAACGCATAACTGTACGTCTACCAGTATTTCAGATAGCATTAGTTATGAATCAAAGCATACGGCCCCACATATCAGAGAATGTAATAACTTCAAGTCTAAGGATAGTTATAGCAAGGTCGAATTGAGAATACTGATAAACACATTACTGTAGATCCATGCAGTATTCTCAAGATGGGTCAATCCAGTTACATAGTATCGATATAATATGCACCTACGTACAGATTAAGATATCACAATACCTATAGTCTATGTGACACAACTATCTCATCTCGTACGTACTAGTCTTGATACGTTATGACGTCCGTATTATCATAAAGTGCGACTAGGGATATTCTAGACATAGCCTTCGTCAAGAAGTAACAGTCTCATAATCAGAACATCGTAGTCCTCATCTATGTTACTGAAGCGCTATCGTCTATGGACTGAAGTTATGTTATGTTACACGAGATATAAAACATACTTCAAGGCCTTTCATTCATGATAAAGTGTACAGTTACATAGGTATTTGATTGCCGTTAGGGCACCTAAATACAACACTTTAATACCCTTGAGTAGAACTCCTTATGTGTATCTGTTCCTAAAGCTTTTAAAAATAGAAAGCACTTTGATATCTCCACTATGGTCACCAGGAGTATGAGGGGGACTAAAGATGTTACCTTCTTCTATCTTCCATGAATTGTCTGTTTTGGAATGTCTATGGCATCACCTCCTCTGTAAATAGACTCATCTCACTCAATAAATCTTACTCTCTGGATTTTGTAGCTATTTTTGAACCTATTGTCAAAGAACACAAAATTAATACAATCCGAGCCACTTTGGGCTTTAGCAACTGTGCCACTGCCCTTAACAACAAGCTATGGGTTCTCTGGAAGGGGGGTAGATTTACACTCACTCACATTCAAGAATTTGGTCAAATGCTCACATGCCATTTTTGGACAATACTCTTCATACAAACATAAGCATCACCTCTGTCTATGGTAAGCATACAGGGGTAGAAAGGAGACAGCTATGGGAAGACTTGTCTCTAATGCCATCTATGATCATATTTGGATAGTTGGTGGGGACTTTAACACTATCTTATCAGTGGATGAGCACAAAGGCTCCACCTCCCCCAATCTGGCTGATATCAAGGATTTTAAGGATTGTCTCAAAGCCATACCACTCATCAATACGCACACCACTGGTGGTACTTACACTTGGGATGGGGTGAGGAGCAGAGGCAGGGTTTGGAGAAGGCTGGACAGAGCTCTAATCAATGAGAAAGCTCTAACTTTCTTCAGTGACATCTTCTCTCAAATGTGCAGCAAGACAACCTCAGATCACAAACCTATCGTATTACAGTGTGCCCTGGACTCTTTTAATGGTGCTAAGCCTTTCAGATTTCAGAATTTTTGGGTCAATAATTCAAATTTTTTAAAGGTGGTGGATGATCATTGGTCCACACAACCCACGCAGGGTGGAATGAGAGGGTTGGCTTCCAAACTTCAGACTCTTAAAACCACTCTCAAAAACTAGAGCAAGAGCACTTTTGGATATATTTTTGAAGAATTGAGGAAAGCTGAAACTAATGCCCTGGTGGCACAAGTAGCATATGAGGCTAACCCTGATGACCCTACACTAAGGAGTATAGCTAATGAGGCTTATGCCAAGCTTATTGAGGCTACTAACAGAGAAGCTATTTTTTGGAAGCAAAAAGCCAACCTACATTGGATGGAACATGGTGACCAGAACTCCACGTTCTTCCACTCATTTGTCAAAGGCAGGAGAACCAATCTTAAGATCAGGGCAATCAAAGATCAAGATGGCAAGCTAATTGAGAAGGAGGATGACATCAAGAGAGCTGCTGAGAAACATTTTTTTGATACTTTCAACAACTCCAAGCTTGTGGATGCCGAACAAATCCTCCACCACATTCCTCACCTCATTTCTAATGATGATAACACCATGATGTCTTCTATTCCTGATGAGATGGAGGTCAGGAAGGCAGTTTGGGATCTTAACCCTAATAGTGCAGCAGGCCCAGATGGGTTCAATGATTATTTTTTCAGAATTTGTTGGGATATTGTTAAACAAGATGTGATTAAAGCTAGGCAAGAGTTCTTCATGGGTTTACATGTTCCCCAGGCTTATGGGAGCACACTCATCACCCTCATACCCAAGAAGGAACATTGTACTACATTCTCTGAATTCAGGCCAATCTCCCTATCAACATTCATGAGTAAACTTAACACAAGGATCCTAGCTACCAGACTACATAATCTGATCCCCAATCTCATATCTATTGAACAATCTGCTTACCAAAAAGGCAAAGGAGTTGAAGATTAGGCACTTATGGCTAGTGAAATGGTACACAGTCTGGACAAAAAATGTGAGGGGGGGAATGTGATAATCAAACTGGATATGGCTAAGGCTTTTGACAAAATTGAATGGGCTTTCCTTAAAGGTGTACTCAGCAAATATGGTTTCTCAACTAGGGTGCAGAATCTTTTACTTGCAAATTTGGAGGCCATCTCAATCCTTATAAATGGCAGCCCCACTGGTTTCTTCAAGATCAAAAGAGGAGTCAAGCAAGGAGATCCCCTTTCCCCTCTCCTTTTCATTTTGGCTAATGAGGTCTTCTCTAGGATGCTCCATCACTTCTTTGACATCCACCACCTGAAGAACTACAATACTGGTAAAAGCACCCTAGTTTCTCATCTAGCCTATGCTGATGACCTCATCATTTTCCTCAATGGAAGGGTCAGAAACCTACTTAGATTCAAACACATACTGGAGGATTACACTCAGGGATCTGGGCAGGAGGTGAACTACAACAAGTCTAGTTTCTTTGCTTCTAAACATTCCTCCCCATCTACCATTACAAGGATGGCAAAGGCACTTAACATGACTCATGAGAAGATGCCTTTCAAATATCTCGGAGTCACCATCTGCAAAGGTAAACTCAAGAAAGATCACTGCCAAGGTCTCATTAAACACTTTGACACCTACTTATCCAGCTGGTACAGCAAGATGTTGACTCCTATGGGAAGACTTCTACTTATTAAACATGTCCTTTCCTCTATTCCTTTACACTTTATAGCTGTCCAAAGTTTTTCCATTGTCCATTATTAACATGCTTCACAGAAATATGGCAAACTTCTTTTGGGGATATCACAAAGGAAGGCCTAAGCACCACTAGAAGTCCTGGGAGTCCCTATGCTGCACTAAGGAGGAGGGAGGAATAGGGATTAGAAATCTCAAGGATTTACATCAGGCCTACTCCCTTAAACTATGGTGGAAAGCACATAGAGAAGACACACTTTGGGCCAGATTCATCAGGGATAAATATATCAGAAGGAACTCTTATCAAGAAAGACTTGTTGACTCACCAATGTGGAAGAGAATATGCAGAATTGCCAATTTAGCGGAAGAACACTCCTTTTCTAATAATGGTATCCTATTCTGGGAAGATGGGGAGTTCACTTTAAAGAAGGGATACAATGTTGTAAGAGACACTGGAAACACCCAAATCAGTTATAAATTTGCTTGGCACAAGTTACAGATACCACAAATTAGGGTTTTCCCATGGAAAGTCTATAAAGAAATCTTACCTTTTCCCCAACTCCTTATGAAGCTAGGGTTTCAGCTACCTTCCCAATGTCCATTTTGTAGAAACCATGAAGCCAGCACTGACTACACCATTCTGCACTGCCATTTTAGAAAAAGTATCTGGAGTTTTTTTATTATCTTGCTTCAAGGGCCCTGCATAAGAGAAGGTATCAGTTTAAGACAACACATGCTTGAGTGGAGTCTCAGATCATCCAGCAGGACTCTAAGGGGCAATCTTAAAATGGTAATAGCCGGAATCATTGCCTGAAATCTGTGGAAAACCTATAATGCTGCACTCTACAATGAGGAGACACCGTCATTGCAGAAAGTCTATCACAATATCAAAAACACTATCCAAAATTGGTGTTGGAACAACCGTGCTAAGAGGTTGATGAATAAAGACTCTGACCTTTTTGAGTTGGGGTTTCAAACTGTTTTTTTCCGCGGCTCTCTGCTCCAAAGCTTCAAAGTTCGATCCTAAGGCTCCACTGGATGAGGATGATTCTCGGTTAAACGATGGCGAAAATTAATAGAAGACGATTATCTCCTTTGCACTCCTGGGGCGGTAATATTTGCAGATATGGTGATGGCGCGAAATGAAAATGGGGGACTTTAAGTTTTTTGGCTGTATTGATTATGATTTCTGTCTCTTGTGGTCCTCTCTGTTTTTTTTATTTGTCCTGTTTCGTTCACAACTTTCGGGGCTTTGGTGATGTACCCCTGGATGACTCCACCAAAATCCAAACTCTCCCAACATATCCAAAAGTTTTCTTTCTTTTCTTTTATCCAAAATAAAGTGTTTTCCATCCATTTTAACCCCTCATCGAAAATAAAAGTCAAAATCTTTGTTTCTTGTTTTTGTCTTTTCAAAAACCTTTTACCCCAATAATGCCTTCCCTTCTTTTCTTCTAATCCTTATTCTGAACCCCTAAATAATTGATTATCCTTAATTGATAATCGACTATTGAAGTCTGCAGATTCTTCTTCAAAGTCCATAACTTCTCATAATCGATTGTCAATAACTTGATAATCGATTATCGTCACCCTCAGAAAATATCCAGTTCCGAATAAGTCCTTGTAAATCAATTGTCTTGTAGTGTCAATCGATTATCGGGTTCCTCAGAACATTCCCAGTTTGAGCTAAACTCAATTAATCGATTTACTAAATGTGCTAATCGATTATTCCTACGTCTCTGAACCCTGAGTGAATCAGTTCCTGTTTGCTCATCCTAAGATTGGATATAAAGCTGAAATTATCCCCTGATTTTTAACAAAGAATAAAGTCTTTTGTTTCACAAAGTAAAAGCATAATCACTTTTGAAACAAAGGAACAAAATCAGAAACAAAGTCATTGAATGAATAGTGCTGTTTTGGCATTTTATTCACAAAAGTCTAAAGCTTGATTCCCCTTTGTTTTCTCCCTTATATGCACGGAATTCTCCCTAAATAAACCCAAGGAAAATCAGCCCAAAATCAGGAGAAGCATCTTGGAAAATCAGCTCACATGGAAGGACATTAATCTTTGATTTTTAGGAAAGAAGTAGGAAGTTTCCTTTATTGTATTTTTCCTTATTTGTTGTTGTATAAATACTTCAGCCATGAGGCCATTGTAAGGACCAAATTATTGAATGAAAAGTTTGTGTTACTCTTTGAGTAATTTCATTAAAATAGTGTGATTCTATTTTAGCAAAATTTCCTAATGAAATATCTCTAAAGTTGGCTACTTTTGAGTGCGTGTTAGGAGTCTAATTTTATACATTAGTAGTGATTATTAATGTGTAAAAGAAGATAAAAGCCCCAAGTTAAGATAAGAGTGTGTCATATCTCTTAACACCAACTTGGTTTATCCCTTCACTTTTCTGCCCATTTCATTCCTCACCATTTCTTTTTCCTAAACTTATTCTTTTCTCTCATTAAAAACA